AGGACTCTGGACTCTTCCTGTGTGGTTTTTTTGGTGTTATGGGTTTTTTTGTCTGTTTTCTTTCTTTCTTTTTTTTTTTAAAAAAAAAAGCCTTGTCACCCAAATAGGTAACGCTAACTTGCAGTGCATGGCAGCAGTGTGTGGAAAGGCTTGGTGCTGGCTTACATATTCTTCCCTTGAACTGTTTTGAAGCCACAGTGGGACTGGGACCATAATGTAATTGCTGTGCAGGTAAATTGCCCTGGCAGAGGCTAGTATCCTGACCCTCAAACTTCCATGCGGCTATTTGGTGTGTTCTCGAAACCAAAACAACTTGTCGCCTGTGTGCTGATTGCTGTAGTGTAATACATCTGAGGTCTGCAGTCATAGAATCATAGAATCACAGAATGGTTTGGGTTGGAAGGGACCTTAAAGATCATCTAGTTCCAACCCCCCTGCCATGGGCAGGGACACCTTCCACTAGACCAGGTTGCTCAAAGCCTCATCCAGCCTGGCCTTGAAGACATCCAGGGATGGGGCATCCACAACATCTCTGGGCAACCTGTCCCAGTGCCTCACCACCCTCTCTGTGAAGAATTTCTTCCTGACATCTAAGCTAAACCTCCCTGATTTCAATTTATACCCATTACCCCTTGTCCTATCACTACAGGCCCTTGTAAAAAGTCCTCTCCCAGTACCCTTGTATGCCCCCTTCAGATACTGGAAGGCTGCAATGAGGTCTCCTCGAAGCCTCCTCTTCTCTAGGCTGAACAAGCCCAGTTCTCGCAGCCTTTCGTCATAGGAGAGGTGCTCCAGCCCTCTGATCATCTTCGTGGCCTCCTCTGGACTCGCTCCAAGTGGTCAATATCCTTCTGATGTTGAGGGCTCCACAGCTGGACGCAGCACTCCAGGTGGGGTCTCACCAGAGCAGAGTCCTTAAGGACCTGCCTCGTAGTGTCTCAGAGCTCCTCCGGTGTCATCCTAGAGAGGTTACAGTAATTCCATTGTGGGAACTGTGCTGCCTTTCGACTCCTGGGGTGAATTGTCTGACCTGTTGAGTGGTCCTTGGCGAGTCCTGCTAGCTAAACTTACCTGAGCTATGTACGTCCAAAGCAAAACAGTCCCACCAGGCCCCCTTCAGCCTTCTAGATATTGGTTGCTTGAGACAGATGGCTTTATCAGAAGAGCTGATAGTTCCGTTGTCATGCAGAGATGAGTTTATATATAGGATGAGGAAAACCACAGTCAGCTGTTCCCACAGCACAGGCCCTTCCACAGGAGTAGGCAAGAGGCAGCATACTGAAAAGCCTGGTATTTGCAGGGTCTGGCTGTTTCACACAGGTCAATCTAATGTAAGTGAGCGGGCTCCTCTCCTTGTAAGGAGTGACCAAATGCCACTTTATATCTAAGCTCCCTCCCTTACAATGCTTGCAGATCCGTCTCTGAACTGGTAGTAGCTTTGGACCTTTCAAGATGAACATCTTTCTGTCTAGATATGGCTAATGCTGGTGGAAGTAGTTCAGAGCACAGATGTCTGAACCTTTGCTCTTTTCAAAATAATGTCAGAATGTTGCCTTTTTAATCCCTCTGGGGGAAGTCAGCCCTTCGCAGGTCAGAGATGCAGTGGGATTTTGTCACATGTCAGGATTGACTGGGACAGTGGAGTTTCAGACAAGGTGTCTAGGCTTCGGTTGAATTTGGACAGTGAAGTCCAGATTAAAGTGTTTTTGGACTAGTGATTTTGACCTTGAAATTTCTGACATTGGGACTTTATTCTCGCATGTCTACAGAACAGAACAAACCTTCCTGAAAACAGACAGAGCTGAAGAAGACAGCATTGTGACAAATGTGGCTTGTGGCAAGCTTTCCTTTAAAACTAAATATGCATAGACCTTTT